AAGGTTGCTGAGATTGAGGCTAAGAACTTGAAATTGAGATAGATTATTAAGGAGAATGTACTAAAGTTGAGGAACTAGAACAAAAGAATACAGAGCTTGAGGCTAGGCTTGCGGTAGTGAAACAGAGTTCTGTGGTAGTGAATAGACAACCACAGAATAATGAGAAAGTGATACTAGAGATGTTACCAGAAGTATTTACTAATAATAATTCCATAGTAGACCAGCTCAAGCAACATGTGCCTGTTTGTAAAGCAAATGATGTGGTATCAGAAGTGTTATTAGAGGTCAACTCCAAGCTGTCAGAAGAGAGAGAGATGGATAAATTCTTGAATGAGGCACATAAGAAAAGCATTAGTGATAAAATAAGACAATGCAATAAGGAAAAGAAACTTCAATGCGAATCAGCTAAAAATCAAGCCCAGGATGTTACTCCTGACTTATCACCTGATACAGAAACTTTAGTAGATTCGAAATTATCACTTAGCATAGACAATAATATCTCTGCTTTGTCATCTATTGAGAAAGTGGTCTCTAAAGAGACTCCAGACAACTTATCATGTGACACGAAAATAATTACTTGTACCGATAGCAAGGATGCCCCATCTAATGAAATGTTTGGGCCGATTGCTACACAGCTGCTTGATAGAAATCGAGTCACTGAACAATTTTGAAGCATGATCTATCTAGATCTATTTCCTCAGTAGCATCGGTTGAACTACATGATGAGTCCACTTTAAATAATGCAATTGAGGGCTCTATGCAGAGATTAGCTTATTGGATTGATGAGGCTATAAAAATGGGTCTAAAAGAAATCTTATACTTGTATCATTATTCCTTTGAGTTTGAAGAAAAAGTAAAAAATATTATAGCCGATGGCAAGACTAAAGATAAGACAGCAAGATCGATGATATACAAAGATATGTTGCAGTATTTACCTAATGTCACTCTAGGTAATTTGCAAATCCAGCTAAAAATATTCTTATGCTATTTGGAGAAAAAGGGGTTGGGATTGATAGAATTAAGTTAGTTACTTGTAGCGCGAGTGATATTTCTGGATTAAATACTTTAGCCATAAAAAAGGTTGTCAGCCTATATATCTAAGTATGTTTAAATTTCTAATTTTTATGTTTCAGAATTAGAGCAACGATATTTATTAGTCTTGATAACAAAAAAGATATCCCAATTTTAAATAGATTGACTAAAAAATATACATAAAATTTTCAAAAAATAAAAACGAAAAATAACGAGTTTTATTAATCTGGCGAGATTAATAACATAAATATTCTGATATGTATATAAAATCAAGTAAACACCTATAAAAGTCGATTACAACCGGTATCATTCGTACGCTAATAAAGACATAATATTACGCGTAAAATTCTATCCGAATTAAATTGACAATTGCTAGTTTAATGATTCTACGAAACTTTGTGCCATTTCTTTGACATGATTTATATGTTCTTCATTACCATGTTCCTTTTCAAATGCTAACCATTTTTTAAAGAAAAATTTCATATTTTTTGATGAAAACTTCATTTCAATAATTCTTTTGAAAAGACGCCTATAATTTATTATAGAATGAAATAAATAAACTGTTATATGAAACAACAATAAACTATTTTTTTGAACGATTCCTACCGAACTATATCGAAATCACCAGCCTTTATTTCCATATCAATATATACAGACCACAAGTCTACTCTCTTGGGATAATTACTCATCATTCCTTCAAATATTGTACGACCCCTCTCAGCCTCTCCATATTTGAATTCCATTTGTGCAAATTTAGCTATGATTTTAATATCTAAAAAAGTATTATGAATATGTTTAACATAACTTGTATACGAATGTTAATTGCACAAAAGTACATGAACTATTCTTACGTTTTCGTTTTGGCAAGGAACGCAAACTTCGTTGAAGTAAATCACGAGAAGCTTGAACGTTACCATGCTTGATATGAAACAATCCCATCTTTGTCCAAACTTTGGAGCTTTGAGAAAACTTCTTCAACATAGTTTGATATGTTTGTTGTGCAAGCTATAAATTTAAACAAATTAATTATCAATGATAAAATTTTTATAATAGTTCAATTTAAATTTGTAAAATGCAACTATACCTCCTCCTTGTCTGACCGCTCATAAATATCCACGAGAAGTATATATATTTTCTTTTGATCACAAGCCTGTAATGCTCTTTTCAGTACACCACCGAGACTTTCATCCGTTCCAAAATTATTTTCTAAATTCATAAGAGCAACCCATATATTCATCTTTTCTTGTTCCTCTCGAAAATTGATAGTTTTAAGAGCACGTTCACCAATTTCACGTGCCTTATCTATTTCAGAAAGTTTGAGTTGATGAGCCATGTAATTAATCCATAAATATGAAGAATTAGGAGAACCCAGGAGTAATCGTTCAAAATCAGTATTGACTTCAGGTTTATGCTTCAATAAATCTTCTGTTTTATCTTCTTCAAAATCAATTGTTTTGGATTTTTTCTTTTTTTTTTTTCCTGGTAACTCATCCAGTTTTTCATTGCTCGATTGATTATCTTGTTTTTCATCATTATTATTATTGGATAGATCAGTTTTTTCTTCTTCCCATTTCCAAGCACTAGAAATTGGCAAAGGCGTGATTTCAACTTTTTGCGAATTGTTGTTTACTTCCATCATTTCATTATCACTTTCATTAATATCAGACATTTGACTTTCTTGATCATCTGAATCAATTTCCATCTGTAAATTTGATTTTTCAGCATCATCTTCAACCTAAAATAACAAATTTCATTAAAAGTTGTTCGTAATGTAACACATTATATCTGATAGCAATTTAAAAAAATAATCAAACAACGTACCTCCATATCATCATCCATATCCTGATCTGATTCATCAAGTAAATCTATACCATGCTCCTTAAAACACGAGTTTTTAATACCAAAAGCGACTTTTTGTGTAGTATAATCAATGTTCAAAACCACTGCAGTTACATGTTGTCCAGTTTTATATAGTGCTGACACATCTTTAACAAAGTCTTCTGATAATTTTGATATATGACAGAGACCACTTACAGAACTATTATTAATCTTGATAAAAACACCGTATTTTTCTACTGCAGTTATAGTACCCTTAATCTTTTGTCCAGGTGAAAAATCTTCAATAGATTTTGTACCTGATATCATAAATTTTTCTTGATCAGCTGCTTGTTGAAGTGCCACCAAAACGCGATCTATGACACTATTATCGTTGACATTATTTTCATTCTTATGTTGTGGAACGTGAACTATTTGTACTTTTACTTTTTGTCCAAAAGAATATCGCATAAAAGGTTGTGTTCGATTATTATAGCTTTTCGCCGCAGCAAATGCAATCGTATTCCATTGTTCCGGAAGAGAAACAATAATATAGTCATCTTTAACTAGTTCAATAATGGCATCAACTGCAATACCCTTTTTAGAAACCTTCTTGAGTTCCTTATACTATAGATTTTTGATATATAAGTAATTAGATGACAGGAAAATACTATTTGTCCTAAATAACTTACTTTATTATTAATCGGCTTGTTGCTCTGTATTTTAAATTTATCTACTAATTCAGGTCTTACTGCCAGATCTGCTTGCTTTCCTTTCATATCTAAGTCAAGCACAATTCCATATAAAAGATCATTCACGTTAACCCCTTCATCCCTACAGTTTGCTTGATATTCGTGTATAAACCCTTTTATCTTGACATCCGTATTGTCCTCTAAGAGGACATTCCCTTTAAATCCTGATACTCCACGTTCAGATATTTGCTTGTTTACTTTACATTTAACTATTTCACCGATATCGACCTTTTTTTCGATGGTTGAAATTGACGTTTGTCCATCTTGAGGTATAAGTTCATTAAAATAGGTTCTTATAAAATCGCCTTGCGATATGTATGGAAGTGCAGTAACGGGGGTATCCGATAACTTTAAAGACACTTCACACCTTGAATTTTCAGTATCAACAGAAATTACACGGCAAATGACTGATTGATGAGGATAAAATAATCCAACAGGACTGGCGACATAATGGTCCGCAATAGTCTGAAAATTTATATAGTATTTTTTTTTCAATTTGATTCATAATTTAACACTTTGAAATATGAAATGATATAAAATATAAACAGGTACTTACATGTCTCATGGCCCTTGCGGTAAACCCACCCAAGAAACCAATAAATACAGCATAATCAGTAATACTTTTCACATATCCTGGTATTATGTTACCTACTTCGACATCTTGTATTGATTTAGGCAATTTACCATTTTTTGCAGCTTCAATAAGTAAATGCTTATTGCTTACATTTACAAACCCTCTTTCACCATTTTTTGAAATTATTATTAGATCATTTAACATGTAGCCTGGCTTTAACGA